CTTAAAGTAGGAAATCTATATTCTTGACATGATGGAAATAGGCAAGCACTGTCAAAGCACAGTGGTAAGATCATCATCACCTGTTTTCTTCAACTCACCTGTAGTGATCAGTGAATGAATTGAAAAGTGAATGAAATGAGAATATGTGTTTGATTTTGTTTTATTCACTATGCTGCAGTGATTTTAGACAGAGGTCCAGATTTAGTTCTCACTGTTTCATGCTGCTTACATCATCTCACCAGACATACTTACTTTATGTTTTACATAGATGTTTTATGTAACTGTACACTACTTGTTCTAATTATCAAAATTACGTCTTGTGAATGGCGATTAAAAATCTAGAGGTAACTCCCATTAAATTTAAACTAAAAGTCAAGCCAAAAAGGCACAACGGTGTAATGTTTTGGCCATGACTTAAACTTTGAGTTTTATATTTAAGTTTTTATTGAAAGCAAGCACATAATTTTGTTACTGCTGGTTATGGTTTACATTTTATTTTGAAGGGGTTAAGAAATTAATTGCATCATAGAAGTTCTTGATCATTTGCTCCAAGACCTTTTATAATTTTTAGTGAATAAATTATTTTAGGCTTAATAAATGTCACGGTTGTATAACATTCTAACAGTTTGCTTGTAGATATTTACAAATAAGTTCCCTTTTCTCTGCTATAGAATTCCTTTCTCTGTTTCTTTTCTTATGAAATAGGAGGATTTAACATTTGAGAATGTAGAGATTTTCACTTCCTTTTAATGTTTGCTGGTCTAATATTAATACATCAGAAAAAACACTTTGTCCTCTCTCTTGTTCCTTGAATCCTTTATGCAAATGCTGCATGTTTCTTTCTCTTCTGTATTTTCCCCCTCAAGCCAAAATTCCGGTGTAACTTTACAGAGAGCCCACACCTCGTTCTCTACATCCATCAGTTATTTAGCTGGATCATGGTCAGTGAGCATACAACTTCTCCTCTTGCTCCTTTTGGACCCATTTCAAATTCAGTCCTAAGTTGCTGCTACATCACAGCTTGACCCCTCCATTTTATCTGTGCTTTTGTCTCAACCACGGATACCTTCCCTTTCTCCTTCCATTCTTCTGTCTTTTCCCTTTTGGGATGCATTTCTTCTGCTGATGGCATGGCATGTGTGCCTTTTTAGCTAAGACACTTTGGACACTGCCTGTGGGATCAGCACGGAGACAATGATACGTACCTCGTTCATTTCCCCTCCTGCGCTCACCCGATTGCATGGGAAGTGTTGTATTTTGGAGTGTAAGACGTGGCTCTCATGCTGATGCCGTAGAAGATTTCTCATTAGCAGTAGAATGTTTTTCAAGTATGGGAATTACTTGCATATTATTTAACTCATAATAATTAGAGTCAATGAGTAATGATGGCAGGAGTGGCATCACTTTCACTCTCCTGTTCCTGGCTAATGCCATTCCTGTTGGTATTTCATGTGAAAGTCTGTGTGCAGAAACACAGCTATGATCAAGACAAGTGCAAAACAATGGCTGTAGAGATCATCGGATTTGCAGTTCTTGTGGCAGGCAATTATAAGATATCTTAGGCAAAAAGTTTTGCCTTCAAAGTGAATAGTTGAGAATGAAAAGTCAAAAATTTAGAAAGTATTTCAAGCTGTACAGATGAGGATAAATGAACTGTAGCATTTCTTGTACACTTCGGTCATCCCAGTAAGTTTGCAAGATGAGTTGTGAACTCTAAAACTACTGCTTCATTTTCTACAGTTGAGTTCATTACATCCCTTATCTCACTGTAGTATGATATGTGTATGCGTAATGTAAAAACGTAAGTGTACGAGAGAAGTCTTTGGAAGGACAGCTTGCAGCATGAGCTGCGCACTGTGGAAGAGTGTAAGTTGGTTTCAAATGTAGGTCATTTGATTTCTGTGTGGGGAATGGCTCCAGAGGAGCCCTCCACACAGGGAGGCTGAGATGGGGAGTCGCGGATCATGGAGCGGGCTTGAAAGCGGAGAAAACAGCTCTGAAGCTTAGATTTGGGGATAGCAATTTGTTGAAGGAGACAGCCCAAACTAGGGTTACTGCCTCCCCAGTCTCTCCAGCAGCTCTGCCACTGCTTTGACATCTGGTTTTGAAATTGCTGCTTGAAATGGTTTCTAATTTATTCTCTGATCTGGGGAGAATTAGGGTGAATGACTGGTGGGGTTAGCTTTTCAGCATTGGATTGCAAGATGAAATACGTTGGAAATTTTCAGGGTTAGGTATCAGCTGCCAAGGTTTAAACAGAGCTGTATACTTTAGTTACATTGGTCAAGTATGTGTATGTTACACCTTATAATTAATGATGCCAGTAACTTTGTTTTCTTTTAAAAATAAGTCATCAAAATCTGTATTCTCATGCAGAAAGTCTTTCATTTTTTGGAACTCACTGGAAAACATGAACTCACTGGAAAATCTCTCTGAAATTTAAAACCCTTTCAGAATTACTAAAATTTGAAAAAAAACCCAAACCTATTTCAAACATCTTCTGTGTCTAAACAGACTAATTTGAAAGAAGAGCAATTCTTATTGAGAACAAGGGATAAATTTGATGATTAGTAGAGATGCTGGTTTTTTATTCAAAGAAGAGCTTTAATTCCTGTCTTTATCAGCTCTCTCAAGGCAGCCTTATAATGAGGCCTGAACAATATCTGTAGTATAAACAAAAATCTTTAAAATTATTATTTTTTCTGCTCCATGGGTACCAAGGATCCTTTACTCCCTTGTGTAGATATGTACTTAGAAAATTTTTAAAACTACTTTATTCCTATAGTGAATGGTAATAACCTTGAAAGAGCCCGTTGTAGTCTGCAGGGTTAATAAGTATTTATGCTATTAATGATTTATGATTGTTAAACTAAGATTAAATGTAAGCATGTGGGACAGGAGTTGAAAGTAAGTCAAAAGCAAGGCAGAGGAATGAGCGAGGAGGTCAGCAGTGGTTGGGAGTGATTTGTGCCTGCTCTCCCCACGCAAGTGAGTAGATCCTGCTCTCTTCAAATAGCCAACCAGACCAGCATTTGCAGAAAGTTTTTTTGAAGCTCGGCCAGTTGATCCTTTGCTCTGATAGAAAGTGTAGATCACATTTTCTGGTACATAATTATTGCCTCTTGGCTGTGTTAATTTTCACGTTAAGGCAAACTTGAGAGGCATCGTTGCTGTGGTTCAGTGGCAGCCTGGGAAGGCGAGCCTTGGCTTCTGAAGAGCTGGAGTGTGCCACAGTGAAACAGAGAGGCACGAGCCCCAGGTCACATAGCCAATGCTTGTCCACTTGATGGTACATGCAATATGTATGTTAAAACTGTAGTGCTAGCACTTTTGGAATGCCATATGTGTCTGGTTTATCCATTGTGGTTATCTATTGACATACAAGAAATCCCCAGTCATAATTTGCTTGTTTCTGTAAGGCTTACATAGATCCAGTTTTAATTCTGCTGAAGAGGTGTAAAAAAACGTTTGTGCTGACCCAAAATCTTGAGTGGGGTTTTTGAATTAGAAACCCAGGATTAATTCAGTATTTTAAGCTCTGATTGGAAAATGTGGTCCAGATGGATGGTCGCTGGCTTCTGTTAGCTGTGCCTTTGAAGTGAATGGGACCAAATACAAACTTTTGGATTCTTTGTGGAGGTTCAGTTTTAGCCTTGGAGTTTTCTCCATTTGAAAATCTGTAACATGCTGCTTACATCTTCTTCTAAACCCTGTGGGAAGCAATCTTCCAGCTGGACCACTTTTACACTGACTGTCGAAACATGGAGTTATCTCTTAAAGAAGCAAAAGGAAGATGTTGAGTTGCTTTCAAGCAGCAATGGAGTAGTTATTTGCCAGACATACATGTGCACAGTACATTAAAAGCAAAGCCTGCGTAGATGGGCATCTATTAACAATTGTTTTTTGTGAATTATTAATGATGTCTTTGGGTTAAGGTGGTGCATAGAAACCCCAGCCTAACCATGCTAGGTGTTCTGCAGTGTAAGAAAAAAGTCAGTCGTGGCTGCAGAAAGCTCTGAGCCTGATGGTGGGGTGCAGCAGAGCAGAGAGGTGGGAGCAGGAGGCAGTCGAGGTCGCTGCGCGTGGTGCGTTACCGGTGCTACCGACCGACCAGCTACTGCTGAATTGCTGTGTAAGCCTCGAGCCGTGGTGTGCGCGGGGAAGCTGACACCATGCTGTAGGTTTCAACGGTGATGTGTTGTCAGGAATAAAAGAGGCAAATGCAAAGATGTGAAATAGAAAATTGCGTCATTGGCTGGGGAGTAATAATGCGTTGTTATTGATGGTGCTCTGTTGCATCAGGCATAGTGTACAGGCAGTGCGCTAGCTGTGCAGAACCTGAAAAGTGAAGGACTGTGTGAAAGCCATTGGGCATTTACTGTGTTTAAAGACCACACTAGCTTGTTCCAGTCTACTGAAGACAAGCGAGGACAATACTCGTTTTAATGACTGCAGTTTAATTACCTAATTAAAAAGGTCCAATTATCATGGGTTTCCAGTGATTATATTGGACTAAATGATTCTGTGATGCTAAAAGTATCTTGTAATGTCACATATGCTCAGCACAGTGTCCTCCACGTAACTTCTCTTGCCCTTTGATCATGTGTTGCTTTCGTTTGCTGGCTTTTGCACTTCCAGAACCAAACAAGTTTGGACTGGAAAATAAACTTAGCGAAATTTGTTTGTTGGCCAATGGGTAGTGCACAAAAGGGAGGAAGATGTGTGTGGGTGCATGGGAAGGCTATGGGTCTAACCAATGAAGCTACTCTGAGTGGGAAAAAAAAAAGGAGAAAGCTGGTTTTCTAATCGCTGTCTTAAGCCAGGCCTGTGTTATGAGACTTAATAAATTATTTGTAGAATGTCAAACCTTTGTTTTGGTTACCATCTTCCACTGTTGAGGTGTGCTCAAAGCTGACAGGCTTGTACTGGCTCTGCTTAGGTCCTGCTTAGAAAAAGACCTTATGAAATGCCCCCTCCATTCATACTGGGGGCCAGGTACCATGGAGTACATCAGCCAGAGCGTGGGGCTGGGGCGGCAGCCGGAGGTGCGGCTGGAGGAAGGACCTGGGCTCTTCTGTACCAAGGGGAGGGAGTGGGGTGCAGGAGGCAGCCTGGAGTGTGGGAGGCGAGAGAAGGAGAGTGAGGCTTGAGCATGAAAATACTTAGGACTTAAGTGCTCATGTTTTATGTGACAGTGGTTTTATGCTCTGTATCTAATTTTTCAGGGTGTCCCAAAACCAAGTAGGACAGCATTTTACCTTCGTGCTCACCGACATTGAAAGTAAGCAAAGGTTTGGATTTTGCCGTTTGACGTCAGGAGGCAAGGTCTGCCTCTGTATTCTAAGGTAAGTCAGTATAGAAAAATTGAGTCAAGGAGTGAATGTAAGAAAAAAACAAGAAAAGATTATCTTTTCCAAATCCTCTGGTAATGTGTTGTACTTCTCTGTCAGGGTATCATTTCTTTACAACAGTGTTACCATTGATTTCACATGAAAAGTGGTCCCAAGCCCCACGTGATAGTATTCTTGTGTGAGGCTAAATAATTCTATTTAAATAACATGAGATCTGTGCTTAAAAGCACAGAACACTACACTGCAGGTTTAGAGGCTTTGAAAATTATGTGAATATTTTTACTTTCTGACGAGATCTTTGATGAGTATCCAGTCAATTTAATGAAAGTGTGCTATTCTGTATTCCTCTCCTTGGAAATGCAGTTTTTGGGTGTCTCTTCCATGTTCATTGGCCAGACTATATCTAATATAAGAAACAGCAGAGTCAGATAATTCGCAATAAAGAGCATGCTGCTTTGTTGCAGAAGAGATATTGATGATAGAGGAATTGACCCCAGTGAAATACTTTGTGTTTCCTTCTGCTTTTACTTTCTTTTCCAATAAGAGAATTGTTTGGTAATGAAAAAACCAATTGTTTAGCTGTCCTAAAACCCTTTTAATTAAATTAATTAAAAGTCGGAGTGCTTTAATTAAAAGGCAAATTTGCCATTTCAATTAAGAGCCTAGCAGCCTATAATGCCCATAGAAGAAATGGGAACATCCAGTTCAGCAGTACCTGAGAAGAACAAGATTGAAGTATAGTTGCTTTCCAAGTGAGAATCCCCAAAAGCAAGGTGAAAGAGGAGCCATGTGCTGCCCAAGAACCAAACACGTTGGCAGCGAAAAGCAGATTGTCAGGTATTTGGACCACATGGAAGTTACGGCAGTCGTGGAAGGTGTCATTAGGATAGACCACATGAGCTAGGGAGGCAAACCCAGCATCGACTCATAAAGGAACATCGGCAAAAGAACATCCAGAGGGGAAGAAAAGACCAGACAATACACAAACTTGTTGAGTAGTGCTTAAAATTATTGGAAATACCACATCAAGACTTCTGTGAGCTTTTAAACAGATTCCAAGCTAATGTTGAGAGCCAGTACACTGGACATTTTTGGGAAAGCAATTGAAAAATAGTATTTGCTATAAATACTAAAAAAAAAAAGCTGGAAGCATTTTTTTTTTTGCTTGTACTCTTAACGTTGTCTGTCTGGCTTCCAATGCTGTGATAACAAATGTTTAATCAGGTATGCACGTTTAAATACCGTATGTAGTGCTGCAAAGCAAAGGGTGCAAATTCTCAGCTGGTGCAAGCTTGGGTATTTCTTTTAACATTTCCCCACAGGCATCTATCAGCTAAAGATTAGTCAATGGTCTGTTACTTGGTAGAAATAACAAGGAAAATGGAAAGTGGCAAGCTATAATTTTTTACTGAACCATAGTTGAAGCATTGGCTTTATTGCTTTTATTGTGACAATTTCAAATTTACAATGCATAGCAGAATGTATAATAGCACTAGCTTCATAGCATTGTCCTTCTAGCTTGGTAGTCTGTTTCTCTCCAGTTCATCCGTGTGTTGGATTTAGCTCCGACAGAAAGAATGCATCAGTATTTCCATCTGATGTTTGTATTCAGTCTGGGTTCTGCTGTGAATCCCAGATTCCTTAGAAGTGACCAAGTGAAAGAAGACTCACTAGCGGATTTCCTTTGGCGTTTTATCTGGCTCTCCCTTGTACATGCTTGTTGATCTTAAATTAATCAAAATCAAAGAAATATTAACCAATGAGCCCTGTCTTTATATATAAAGAGTGTGCATGCATGTTCACAGTTGCTCTCTTCCATGTCTCAAAATAGCATAAATTTATATACGCTGTGCATATATACACATAACGACTCTGATGTATGAGCAATTCAAACTACTTCTCTGTCACAGATATGTACACCATAGTCGTTGAGTTTTACATAAACACACAAATGCAGGCATTCATAAATACCATGGCTAACTACACATCTCCATATACAATAGCGGATTGCCTCTAACAAGGGGAGCGCGTTAAGTTGCTGACTGGGCTTTAGCAAAGAGTCAAGTACAGAAAAATTAACTAACTCAAATCGTTGTAAATGACTAAAATCTAAGTAAGAATCTCTGAAAAGAGGAGCAGGAACAAGCCAGTCAAAGTGATGAGAAGGAAATGTGGGTAGGAAGCTGTGTGGGGAACAGGACACAGTTTTTATCTCATGAGTGTCTGTTGTGGCTGGTACCAGATCATGTCTTAACCTACGCCAGGGCTGCTAAAGAGACAGGGTTGGAACTGCTGAACAGGATTCTTAACCAAAAACTGAAGAAAATGATGCTTGTCCTCAGATTTTACACCAACAACATAAAGGTGCTTGTAAGATTACATTCTTGTGCTTTATGGGATTTTTTTTCTGTAATACCTTCTTCATCTGAAACACTCATTAAAGGAAATAATCTCTGAATTTGCAGCCACGTGATCCTGCTTTGAACTGGATAGTTTGAAACAGAAAATAGACTTGTACCTAGAAAAATCTTCTGTGAATTTTATGGGTGGTTTTTTACGTTTTATATTCACACATTTATGAACTGTGTAAACAGAATTTTCTCCCAAATCAGAATATTTTGTTCAAGTTCTCTGTATGTTTACACAGTGAAATAAAAATCCCCCAAGGTAACTATCTCGGGCATTTTTGTTTGAAGAAGGCGGTGGTGATACAGTATTGTCTAAAGTGATCAGGCAGAGCTTGACTGCAGTGGCCACATTCAAAGCGCAAGGAAGTGTGAAACCGTAGTAAGATGAGAACATAAATCTTGGATTATTCTCCAGAAGTTTTATGTGATTCCTTTGCAAATATTGTTTTGGTTATTTTTTTTTTTCTTCAAACTGCACAGCTGCTTTGTGAAGCGCTCGGTGTGAATCCTCCTCCCTCTCCGCAAACTGTTGAGCTAATGCAGCCCTGTAAGAACGAGGGGTGCCACAACAGGAATATTGTAATATACCTTCTTGTGCTCATATACTATATTGGATCTTTTCTTCTAGTTTTACTTCTTATATTTTAACTTGGGTAAGAATTTTGCCAGTTGAGATTTGAAGCAGCGCAGTAGCAACTTCAGTGTTCGCTTTTGAATAATGGAAGGAGACTTAATTCTTCTGGGTAGTTTCTAAGTATCACTGCTGTTTGCAGTAGGAGTAATACTTTCTGGGTTTATGTGAAATTATTTTTGAATTACCTGAATGGTTTTAGTACAAAGTTCAAATGATTTAACTGAAAGTTGTTTTGTTCAAAATCTTGAAACTGTTGATGGGCTCTGAGGTTGACCTTATGTATCGAGAGGAACACCAAATGCATCATTAAAATGCTCAGTCTTAGCTTTCATTAATTTGATGACTGTAAAATTGTCACCTACATTTCCAAATGAAATGCTCTAATAAGGAAGACAGGTTTATGTGGTAAGCCTTTGTAGTTCTTCAGTTCAGGCCAGGCTTGAAGCTTTCTTTCTCTTCCTTTAGGCAAATCCCATAGAAGCAGAATGTTTCAATTTTACACATTTTGTGTCAATTTTCCAGACAGAAAAGTAGCCCCTAGACATTAGACATTTAGCTACGGAAAGGCGGTTTCCTTAGTTTTATTTGATTACTAGAAGTTAGATTCAATTCAGGACTGTTAGTGGTTACCTGACTATTTGACAGAAAACATTTCCTCTCCTTTATTTAACCTTTGACTTGTGAATGTAAAAGTTTTATCAGAGCTGTAATAGAAGCACCAGTGAGGTGGAAGTCTACTTACGGCAACAAGGGTTCTGCGTGACTTACTCAAAGTCTGAGCTCCTGCCTTGTGGCTCATTTGGATTAAAAGAAACTGCTAAGTATGTTTTTAATTAACCATGAAATATCGTGGGCTCTTGCTTTCATGACGGGCAGGGGCTGTACTTTTAAATAAAGACCGCTGTATTCTCAGCCAGGGAATACGTATCTGTTCAAACAACATCGCATATGTTTTGATGTTTTTCTTTATTATGGGAAAAATGTTTTGTGGCAACTTTAGAGAAGTTGTTGTGTGTTATTGGAGGTTGTTGTATGTTTGTCTTGTATGTTTGTTTCTCCAACAATTCCTGATTGTAACATGCAGAATGCAAAGACAGTGTTTACAATTAAAGAAAAACAAACAAGAAACCAATGACGGTTTCATAGTTTAAGAACCTAAATTATTTTTGTTTGAAGTTAGGCTTCTAAATACATCAGCATTTAAAATTAAAGCCCTGTTTTTCCTCTGTTTTATCTACTGTGAAGGAGCCTTATTGATAACCTTTTGACATTTTTGTAAGACAGCTAATTAATTTTGAAATGCACTATGCATATCTAATTTTATGAATGCATATATGATGGTAAGGTCTTTCTAGTAATGGACTTTAGTTTTTATTTTATCCATTGTTACGTTACATATTAGTGTGACAGATTTGAGTTAGGAGTAATGTAGTACAGGTGTGCTCCGTTAAATTCAGCCGTTTGAAAATCATTTTTTTGCAGAAAGTGCATTTCTGTACTGACTTGAAAACAAAGTTACCCAACTTAACAGATGTTGATGGACATTTGTGTGCTGGATGACTTTTCTGTACCTAGACTAGTTCTTCTCTGCTAAACAAAGATGAAATAATTTTGCTTGACAGCCTTGAGGATGTTACAAAAGAGCTTATACTTAATCCTTGAATTGAGCATCTCAAATACCGCCTGATAGCTGTCTTTATGATGAACAAACGCAACCTGTGTTTGTGTTTACTTATGAATGCAGAGATGCATCATACAAACGCACACAAATGCACTCTTTAGTATTTATATAAGCAACAAATGCAACAATTTGTTATTATACTGAAATAATAGTGATTAGCAAATACATAAAGAAAAATACAAGGGAAACTTTTTTGTTTTGCAGTAGATCTTTGTAGTATTGTTGCAGTAAGGACAGTGTAATTAAAATATTGGCCAAAACTTTTGCAACGAAACTGTGCTTTTGAAGAACTGAAGAATATGTGGATAAGAAGCAGAGGACAGGTCTTGGTGGCCCTTGGTTTCATGCCATAGAACGTAATGGAGCACTTGTTTTGATTTCCTTCATTTTTCAGGTTTAAGAGGCGTGTTGAAATTACATTAACCTCGTGGCTGTGGTTATAAGGCTTAAAGCAATTCTCTTTCCTGTCTTGCAGCTCAGAAGGAAACTGGCATTTTAAAGCCATCTTCAAGTAGCCTGTTTTTACAGTGTTTTTCTTTGCGATTCATTACATGTGGACAGGGAATTGTATTATCAATCTGATTTTGCTAAGAGAAGAAATTCTTGTATGAGTACTCTGGTCAGCGTGCCTTGCTGTGTGAAAAAAATCTCCCTTGGCTTTGTGCTAGGGTTCATGAATTTCAGATAATGAATTTGACTGGTTTATGCATAGATTTAAAAGTTGCATTTAATTTTTTCTTTTCACAGTAAGCGAGGAGCTGAGATCATAGATACAAGAGAGAAATATGGTTAATATTTTATTGAAGTAGGAGCATTTATTTTTATAGCATGTTCATAAATGTTCGTTATGAAAAATGAATGCTCAGATAAGGTTTTAGACTATTCTACAGCAAAATGTGGTGGGGTGATATACAGAGGTGCACCTCGATGCAGAGGTGGTAGCAAAAGACCGGAAAGCTTTTAGATAATCTAAACCCATTTGGGTGTCTAGTGTTATAAAAATACTTTGCGATTTATATCTACCCTGTACCTCGAGTCGGTTAAAATGCAAGACCAGTGTTCCAGTCCCTGCTGTAGTTCTAGGCTGGTAGAACTGCTCGGTCGCTCTGACATTTGCAGGTACTCTGAACGCTGTGGTGAACAGGTTTGTTTGCCTGTCTGTGCTGCTTTTCAGCGGCGTGTAACACCAGGTTAACATGATTGCAGAAGGTTATACAACAAGAGTGGTAGGTGGGAGAGAACTAAAAGAGCAGCTGTTCTAGGGGCTGCTACGGTGAGTGCATAACAAGGGCGTGCAGCATTAGTGCCTCTAAGGAGTGCATGGCCTTCCACAGGTGCAATGAAGTAAATTTTATGGTTATATAAGAATATATTGAAAAGCAAATGCAATAATGTCGCACCTTAACTACTGTCAACAATACCAAGCATAAAAAATGTCTGTGAGCATTAAGAGGTTGATTTAGTACATGGTAAAGCGCGATAAGGACGTTAATGCAGTGACTCTAAAAGAAATCATTGCCTCTGTGTCTCTTTGGCTTGGCAAGATTAAATTCATGATGGTTACGTGTGTTTGTTTTGTTTTGTTTTTAAAGAACCGGCAGTTACGCATTTATAAGCACAGCAAAGTAAGGTTGCTAGAAAATGCCTATGTCAGATTTCTACTGTTTTCTTTCTTCGCCCTAAGAATTGGGGTCTGTTCCTAAAGCCTTGCCAGCTGCGTACTGAGAACAGAGGTGTTACAAAGAAAACATAACCCTTCACTGGGCTCACCGCACCAATGGAGACTTGGCTTCTCTACCGGCCAGGGATCCTCTAATGGGTTTCCTTTTCCTACCAGGGAAAACGTTTAGATTTTGCATACTGGGCTTGAGTTGCAGCTAACATGTTTCCTGAAATATATCAATTTGAAATGTAAAGGTTTGTCCACAGCAGGCACTAAAGCTTTTATGAAATGCATTGAAAGTATGTCCGTGGATTTACACTGCACCAACAAAGTGTGTAGTATTGTTATACAGGGATATGAAATGTACTAAAAACATTTCAGGCTTTATTTCCTCCCCAGCTCCCCTTCTAATCTCCAAACAACTAATATTAAACATACTATTCATTGTAGTAGCGTTCTTTGTGATAAAATTCTAACAATTTCAAAATTGCAAATAACATTACTACTGAAAGCCATAACAATTACAGATAATAGGAATGTGATTTGGCAATTTTTAAAATGACTTTTTAGTGCCTTTAAAATATAGAGAAGTGAAATATGGTGAGCTAATCTATGCTTAATGACCTTCAAGCAGATGTACAGCATAAAGAAATGCAGCTTTGCTGCTGTCTGTCAGTGATGTACCATTAAATTTGTGGGGAAAAGTTTTATATGAATTCTATTTGTGTGGAAATATTGTACAAATGTGCAAGTCAGATTAGTCATAGTAGTATTTTATAAGCACTGGAAAAAATACATTGGTATTTTATTAAAATACTTTTTGCCCTCCTGTTTTAGCTACCTACCGTGGTTTGAGGTATACTACAAGCTCCTAAATACCCTGGCAGATTATTTGGCTAAAGAACAGGTAATTTTAGATATTCTGTTTCTTTGTGTAAAATGTTTTCCTTGAAATAATAGTCACCATTGGAAGTTCTGTAAAGTGATTCTGTACTGTTTAAAAGTTTTAAATTTTAGAAGAATTTAAAAGCAAGTTTTTGAATCCTACATTAATCTTAAAAAGCTGCTGGGAATATACCTTTATAAAGTGTCAGCCTTAGCATAAACAAGTCCTGGATGAAGTGTGAGCAAAGTGTCACATCACTGGGGATCTTTATGATGCAGTGATTGTAAACTGTAGATCTCTGGAACTATCTGATTATCAGTTACAAACACTTTTTTTCAGAACTGCGTAAAATATGATGTACTGTTTCACCTTTCGTATTAACTAAAAGCTACCTCTCATAATTCTGTCATCTCGGCTAGCAATACAAAATTCCTTGCGGCATTTGGTGAAGACTCATGATAGTTTGGTTTGCATATTCATGAGCAATTAGACATATTCCAGGATTGCACAGTAAAGGCAATACTGGCATCTGGTTTTACTGAGAACATTAAAGTTATACCTTTTTGCTTCAACTGTATTAGTGTACTAGATTGTAATTTTTTAAAAAGCATCAATACTGAGCCGTATGCTGTAGAGTGGAAAAGCTGATATTTCAAGAATATAGGCACTATAGACGAAGCAATTCTTGTGCGTTTTAGTGAATGGACTATAGCAAATGATGAAAGAAAAAGCAGTGGGAAGGTTTGATGTTAGCCGTGTTTCAATAAAATGTGGAATACATGTAAGTCTTTGAAGTGGTATAATGAGACTTTAGTTTTGGCCCTGATTTCACTGCAGTGGTGAAAACTGGTGTTAAGGTTGTATTTGAGAGAAGGGGGAGGGATTGTCTTCTTTGTTTCTTGGTCACTTGTTTCTGGCATTGCAGCTGTTACTGCAACCGATTTAAGTTGGAAGCTTATAAGTTTATTGTCCTCTGTGCTGAGAAAACTATTTGGATGGGTCAGACAGTTTTAGCAGTGTATGGAAGTATTTTTTTTTGGTATTGTCTAGTACTGTATGTGTTGCTGAGGAGGCTCTTGGAGGAGGACACTGCTCTCTCCCTGGCCCAGGCACTGCTCATCTGACCGAGAGCTAGACCCAAAGTCTTGTTTACTGCTGCGAGAGCCAGTAACATCATTACAGGGAGAGGTGGAAGCTTCCCACAAACTCAAACAATATGTTTAAAAGCTGGCGTTGGCTTGTCGCTGATGTTTTTGATTTTACTTTGACAACCAAAAGAATTTAATCTCCATGAACGAAACCCTAAACCAAACAAAAACTGTCACACCTGTTTCCCAAGTAAAGTTCTCTTTTAGAGATCAAGGTGGAGGATCCTAGTTAAACCTAGTAGCTGCATGTATTTTTTAGTAAACGTTGTTAACAGTTTTATCTGTTCCGATGAATCATTTTGAAATTATACTGTATAGCTGTGTAGCTGCATAGTTAGTAAAACTTGGAACAGACAAATACCGTGGCTAACAGTTTTAGGAAGACCGTGTCCTAGATGCACAGGCCAGCAAGATGTGTTAACGCTACTTTCAGTTCTTTTAAGGAGTGTATGCGAGAGATTGCCTTAATTTGCAGATACAATCATTTTCTGAGATGTGAATTTGGCATGGATTTTATACTCAGTATTTAAATACTTCACTGTGAATTATAATTGTCTTTTCATTGTAAATATGTGTATCTGTCAGTAAATAGTTTGATGGGTAGTAAGTGGTAATTATTCAGTTTTTATACAGTGATTAACCACCTATTAAAAATATTCCCTATAGGAAAATGACTCAAATGATTTGTTAAAATCATTGTATAACCATCCTGTGCCAAAGGCGAACGCTTTAGTCAGTTTAAGTGTGGTAAGTATTCTCTGTGTTACTCTTACTCCTATTACTGATCCTGAAATAGTAGGTATGGTTGAAATAAAAAAGAACCGCTTTGTCAAGAGTAAACTAATGTTGCTGCCCATCATTAACTGGCTTGGACAATGTGTTGGTTTGTGGGTTTTTTTTTGTTGTTGTTGTTGTTTTTTTTTTTCTTTCTCTGCAGAATAGTTTGTCTTTGTCTTGTCTTGTTCTCATAAAGCCATAGTCATAAAGAAGCAGAAATTTGAATTTTGCTCTATGGATGAGAAAGTAAACTGCTTTGGGATCTGGCAGCGCTAGAACTACTTTTTTGTGCTTCCAGCTGTTTCCTGTAGACAATTTTGGTTTCTCCTGCTGTGAATCGGGAGACACTAACTCTGTTTTATCACCTCCTATGTCTGAGTAGGTAGACTTGTAAGATTGTCTGAAAGTCTGTGTAAGCTGGCTTCTTTCCTATCTTCCTTCCCTTTCTGCTTAGTTTTGCTTGATCATGCAAAAATGCTGTAGGAAAGATGATAGAAGTATCCTGCATTACAAGAAACTTTCAACACGTGTAGGTGAAGAACGTCCCCATGGGATGCGGGACTGGACACTGATAGCATGGCATGGCAAGGTGGGGTTGCCACAGAAATATCCAAGTAGCCTGTCACTGTCAGAGTTCTTGACATTTTGAACAGAGATAGCATATGGACATGTGTTTAAATACATTTATAGAGCTGATATGAAATGTAAAGCCCATACAGAGCCTCTGCTGTCTTCAAGAAATTGTTTGTGTTCGCAGCATCTGTACAATTACTGCACACATGGATAGCTGTGTGCAAAGAACTATTTCTTGTTGGAGCTACCAGAGTTTGTAGGGCACAGAAAGAAGTGATTTCATAAAGGCTTCTCCTACTCACATTCTGAAAGATTATTAGATTATTTATCTTGACATTATTTGTGTTGTTTCCTGTTACTTTTAACTCATTTATTTTAGAATTGAGCTCAATACTCTGAATAAAATAAGCTCAAACTCTAGAAAAGCATCTGGCTCTATTGTGAAGGCATACAGAGGTGGAGAGTCTACCACTTCTGTGCCAGTAGCTACTCATCCTTGCTACTTAACACAATGCTACCTTTATATTATTTAAATTTGTTGTATTTGAGATTCCTTGTTATGCCTTTTCCACTAGGCTATAGAGGCCTGATATTTTTCTGCCTGGAACAGTTCTAATCCACTGTATGTGCAAGTCCTTCCAGTCTTGTGTGTTGTTTTTCCCCAGAACAGCATATTGGTTTTTGAGGCTGCAGTTGGAATTGTTTCTATTGCTAAATTTTTTCTTTCTATTGTCAGTTTAATATTTTCAAGTTAATTCAGTTCATAGTACCCTTGCAAGAATACTTCTCTATATCAAATAATATTTTGCTGTCATTGATTGCAATATTATAACCAATTCTAATTTGGCAACCCTAAAGCACTTTTTATGGAGTGCTTTAAAAATCCTGCTGTGTTTCAGTAGGACACAGAGAAGTTTGAAACATCTTTTTCCTTTTATTTCTTGCAAAGTGTTGCTGCCTGCTACTCTCAGTGTTGCGGTTCATCTCGTGTAGAGCTCGCCTGCCTCAAAATTCATGTTGTGATGAACCTGGATGGATGCTGTGGTGAATACAGCTGGCAGCACTGGCATGAGAAATTGCTTGCAATCAAGTTGGCTCTTGCTGGTTTAATTTCAATATTATCTGTCTGTTGAACTTATTTTTTTCTCAGTTGCATCCTGGTCCTAGTAGCTTGCTACATCCCAGAGTTTTGTAATCTTTTCAGCTGGACAGTGATTATCTAAGGGCAGGCCTCTTGCTGCGTGTTTGGCTGCAGGTACAGTTGAGCAAATACTGTGGGTTCAGATGAGGCAGAGCAGGAAGGAGCAGGTTAGCCTGGATCAGCATGCTTGTTGGATCTACAGGCATCTCAGTGCTGCAGGGAGCAGGAAAACATTTATGGCCTCTTTCAACCCTAACTTTGTGTGTCTAGCCTTTTATATCCATGTTCCTTTCTTGCTCCTCATATATTGTAAATAGGCTGGACTGAAACCATCAGTAGGAATAGGCTTAAAAAGAAGCTACAGTCTGACAAATAGTTGTAGAAATTACAGCGTGAGGCGGCTTTTCATTGTGCCAGGATGAGTCTACTTCAAATTTTGTGATGCAGAATTAAAAAGATCCCTCATTTACTCAGGTATGGAGGGTAAGGCTCATAGATGCTGAAGCAAGGTTTAAATGGCAGACCATAATGGTACTTGGGATTGCATGCATATAATTATGCATAAATTATGTCCAGTATCTGGATACATGTCATTTCCCAATAATCCTTGGTCAGGAGGACACCAAAATGCCAGTTAGGGACCAAGTTCTGCTCTTGCCTGTTGGTCCCAGTAACAATATTCTGCAGCTGCAATTTATGAGGGGTGATCATTTGTTCTGTAACACCTGAGTTGAAGTGTAATTTGGGTCACTTTTGTTAGCCCTCCATGGATAAAATAAGTAATTTTTTTTTTTTAATTAAACTATCTAAGTCTGTATTCAAATAGGGGAGGAATAGAAAGAATAAAACGTATTTTCAAGCAGTATTTTAGACGTAGAATGTCAGAAGCATTAGAATCAGCTTTGTCCTTTTTGTTAGAAAACTAAAAAGTCAATTGTTCAATCTTTCTCTCATCTTGCATAAGAACCAAGAGATGATTTTTGCAAGTGAGCAAGTTTTGAAAAAACAGCCTTGTCTTGTATCGGTGAGTTTAAAAGGCACTGACTATCTAAAGTCTATTGTAATTAAAGAAATAATTGCTTGCTATAGGATATCTCTTTTGATTTCAGGCTTATTTACACCTGTCCTTTGGGAAATTGTGCTGTTGTCTGTAGCCTAAAAGAGCAGTCTAATATTAATGTACCTGTTCTGTTGAAATCAATCTAACTTCAGAGCTATGTGTGTGTGCATTGTAATCCTTTCATAAAAACCGCACCCAAAATCACACTCTGAAATTGACGAACAAACCCTGCATTTTTCTAGTGTCTCTTTTTAGACAAAACTTTATCCAGGACAGCAACTATTATTTTAGCATCTCCTACATCTTCCTGAGGGAGTTCACAAAGATGAGCAAGGACTCCACGCATTCCACATTATTTTTGCTGCTTTATGACTCTAAATGACTGCAGTAATGGGTCTTTGCTTCTCATAGTTCTGACTTCCTTTTTTGTTTAATGATGAAATATTGTTACTTTGTTAATTATAAGTAATTACTTCTCTAAGTTATTAACTTCATTGCTCAGAAATCTTTTGACAAATATTCTGTGACCTTATTACATATGGGAAATAATTTTCCATTCTCACTACACTTCTGAAGAATGTAGGCATTCCATTAATCTGAATATTTTCCTGTTCCTGACTAGAGAAAAAAATCCTAGCTTTTTTCACTGTTGATGCAAAACAACAACCTGGGATATTGATTGTGCAGGTGCTATGATGTTTATGGGATGCCGTTTTTAAGCCATTTTTTTTCCTAAATGTTTAACTATTGCCAAATGACCCAATTTGTGGGAAGAATTTCCTATTAAATATATCAAGCTGGTTTAATAAGTCTCCTGCACAGAGTTAATGGTATTAATATTCTTTTCTTGAACACAAGGCACATTTAATATCTTACAGACTTCCTTTATCTTTTTCAAGTTTGACTTGAAAACAAGCTGTCTTTGTGTTGTTACTTATAATTTTAAAATACACTATAAAACCAAGAAAAGTCTGCAAAAATGTCAAAATTCCTTTAAAAACAAGTAAAAGCTACAAAGTCAATAATTATCCCATTTACTTATTATGCAGTTAAGGGTTTTTATCCTTCAAGATTTAGACTACGATGCAAAAATGCCTTAAAATCGCTGAGCTAATTCCATGTCTGATAACTATTAAAAGCATTGGATTAATGTGAATAATTTAAATTACATCTGTTTTTAGTTTAATCCATTTTATATTTGCATCCTAAATTGCCTCAAACTAAGATGCATAAAATTGCTGATGTATTTCATAAATGATTGCGGAATCTCTAGCTGTCAGGCCTTGCATTTCTGTTAGCACATTTTTGATTCAGAGATGTTTGGAGAGAGGAGAGTATGTATATCAAGTAATAATATTTCTATTCTAATCAATTTTCTCATGTGAGTGATTTTTCCTTTTCCATTCTAAATTTACATTTTGTCCTTTAACAGCTTTGGTTTGGTTTTTTTTGGTTGCAATTTTTGCATCAATGCTTAGAGTTAATCAATGCTGCTCTCAGGCTTATGACAACATTTAAAGCTGGCTTAATTTCAGTGTTATTTCAAAACGGCAGCCCAGTGTTTTGTTCCCTTGGTTTGTGTGCTGCACTGAACCAGAGCTTGTCATTTTGTGTTGTGATTTGCTTAATTCTTTCTCTAGTAGTGGTAAGAATGCTATTGGAAAAATGGCTATTTGCTTAACCAAAAATGGGGTTGGAAATCCTAAATGCTAGATTTTTTAAAAAATACTTTTTGGTTTCAGTGTGCATAAATTATTAATTATTTTTCCCCATTGATTAGCACTCGTATTTCATTACTCCTGATATAACTGGATTGCCAACAATCCCTGAAAGCGTAAGTATGCAGTTTCTTTTTTAAATATTTAGAAGTATCAACCTTATTGTGTGGGTAGGGCTGAACTCTGCTTTTATCAATAGGAGATGTTTGTTGTTGTTTTTTTTTTCCCCCAAGACTGTTTTTAGAGTATGGTTGATGTCTGTTATTACAACCTTTAGCTACTAGTTACTGGTACATTCATCATTAACCAATTTTAAAGCATTAAGAGGGCGTTTTTGACCACTGCTATATCCACCCTTTCTTCATAGTTCCTTGGCTTGTTTGCATTTATTGGGTTAGTTATGCAAAACATATTCTACTTCTGCACCTTGTGTTATTTGAATATCTGCCCTTGAAGCACTATATTGCTAAGCTGCAAATTCAGCTCTCAAAATATGTCGTTATTTTTCATGTAAGAAGGCATTGTTTCAGGCTTTCTGAGAACATGCCATACCTGCTGACGTGTGGATGGTAGCTGTGCACCAGCAATCCCTATTGTTGTGCTGTGGGTAGCTGCCAGTGTGAAGCCTCAGATCATGTTCTCTACGATGTGTTTAGCTGGATAAAACTTTCTGCGTTCCAGTCTCGCATTTAAATATGGAATTGAACATGAATGTACAGATGTGTGTTTTTACACTTTCAAATAAGAACTTCCTTCTGAAGGTTAGCTGTTGGGGGCTTCAGCAGAGTGCAAAACCATGCAGTGCAGAAAGCGTGGCAGGAGCATCTCTGTGGTGGTGTGTCGGCCAGGCAGGACGGGGAAAACATCCTGATGGCCCGCTCCCCACCTCCATGCGGTGGGCGAGAGGGGAGTCTGTGCCCCCTGGCCCCGGGCTGGCTGCCGGGTGGGCCGGGCGAGGGACAGGAACGGAGCCACACGAGGAAAGGCTGGGGAAGCCTCTCCATAGGGTGCTCGTAGCGCAGAGGAGACCCTGGGAAGTGTCTGTGGTGATGGAAAGGCGTCTGCACCAGGGGCGATGGTGCAGCCCTGGTTGCAGCCCAGAGAACTACAGAAAGTTGCTGGGTAGAGGAGTAAAAGCGACGACCTGGGTTGCAAGGGCTCTTTGGGCAGGACAGGGCTTCGTTTTTAAATGTTTGTTGTCGTCCTTTTCGCCCTATGGGTTGAATTCCTCTATTTCAAAGAATTCTCTTGTTCGAGCTTATTATTTGGGGTACTGCTAAAATATAGCTATGGAGGCTAGCAGGTGTGGTGTATGTTCAGCTCAGAGAAAATGTGGGGAAGCTTCGCTCTGGGCCTGGCGGATCTTGTGAATACTGCTAAAACATAGCTATGGAGGCTAGCAGGTGTGGTGTGTGTTCAGCTCAGAGAAAATGTGGGGAGGCTTCGCTCTGGGCCTGGCGGATCTTGTGATGTGGATTTATTGTGCTGATGCTGTGGGAGAAAGGAAAAGTAATTTTCAAGGTGCCTTTTAATAATTATTTTTTACCACATTTATGAAAGTCTCATCCTTCCAGTATGAATCGAAATAGTGTGGTACTAGTGGAGGGTTAGAACCTGTGGGCAGTGAAGAGATGAGGTAACTGCAGTAAAATGAATTTTCTTGTTTGTTGTAAGATTCCCATATTTCAGGGGCAGTAACTTTTGAGGTGTAATGCAGAAATAACTGTGACTGTCTCCCAAACATATATTGGTCGGTACAAGGTTGCAAACTCTTTAGCACAGCTTTTGCAACACAGATTCAGCGTGCCACTATCAACTGCAACGTTAGAGCGTGTCCTAGATGAATTAGACTCAAGTTATCATGCTGCATCAGCCTCTGACAGCCAGTTAAAAGTAGCACTTGAAAGACCAGAGTTTCTTTCTAAATGGAGTGTTTGTATCCTGTATGTTTGTGGTTTTGGTCTCTTCCAGAATTTTATGCAGTGTAGACCAAGAATAACTCCATACTCTGTGTCTTTGCATTCATAATGCATTTCTGAATTTACATGGAACTGGATCATCCGTTGGATCTTTGTTTTTCTTTGCAAGATCTTTTTTATTTAATATTGCAATATATCCTGAAAGGGAGGTCAACCTTCTGACCCTCATCCGGATTTTAACTGTTTTAGCTTATTCAGAAATGGTGCGCCTCTGGCACTGTGCCATGCAGAAATACTATTAAGTTGAACTGGAACGCAGAGATCCCCCCGTTTGCTCTTTTCCCCCCACTTCAGCGTTGTCTGAACTATAAATAAGAGGTGCTGGTGACTTTGCTTGTCATTAAGCCCCACAGTGGGGATGGCAGTGGGGTTCTCACCAGGGATGAAAAGAGTGGCTGGAGGAAGGGCCCGGTACCTTCTGCCAGTGCTGCTGGACATTTGATGTCCTGGCACATACAGCTCGAGCAAAAGCTTAGTGTTTTTCAACAAGCTGCTTGCTGTACTTGAAGTAGAATAAAATGTGTCGACTTCGAGAGAGCCTGGCAAAACGGCACAGTTTTCTTGTTGTGGCTATGACGGAACAGTTATTGCAGTGGTGGAAGATCCATTCCTGGATCAAAAGCAGTGGTTACCTTAATAGCATGTGGTGCTCTTGATATAATACCAAATTTCATATTTTTTTCCAATTTGAAAAAAAGGGCAAATCTTAATCAAACGAACAAAATATCAATAGCTTACACCAAAGTTAGTTTTTCATTGGCTTTAAAACTCAATCAATTGTTCTTAAAGCATACAGATTTTAATACAAAGGGTTTTCTTTCGTAGTTTTGGGTTTGATTTTTTCCCCACCTACTAATTGGACAAAAAATTTTGTAAGTAATATATAAAATGTTCCACTTAGCTACTACTGTTGCTGTATTGTTAACATCTTATTTATTTAAACAGAGAAACCTCACTGAATATTTTGTTGCTGTGGATGTGAACAACATGCTGCAACTTTATGCCAGTATGTTACATGAGAGACGAATCATTATTACCTCTAGCAAACTAAGCACTGTAAGTACTTCACACATCTCCTTTTAAGTAGAATATATTGAACATTTCACAAAATGACCTGCAGACCTTTGTCATTTTAGATATGTTCCATGTGTACTCGTAAGACAATATCTACATACTTTTCTGATATATGGTTTTAGTCTGGCTCTTGAAGTACAAAAGTCTGATTTATATAAGACCTACTTAGATACATTAAGTCAGGTTAATTATTTTTCTTATCAGGAGATGAGAGTTCTTTAACTCTCCTGAGTTCATTTTTGTGCCTTCTAACCTAAAAAGAATTCTTGAGGGCTATTATAAGATCTTTATTATTCACTTGTGGCTTGTTCCATTGGAGCTACTTGAAAGAAATCAAGGGTCCATAATAATAGCTGCTATCCTAACCTGGTAATAGGTAGATTCATCTTTGTTAGAGTGGTTTGGGAGTGCATACTGTAATAGCTCTGATTTGGAGCAGCTCTTCAGGCTGATAATAAGGTACAACTCAAAATGGCTTTTTTTTTTTATTAAAGGTTTTAGGCTATTGCCCACATTAAAATGTTGTTTTTTTTTTTTCCCCTTATGACTGCTTAGACTGCTTAATAAAAGAATGTTGTGTTTCATTTTAAAAGTATACCTAAATACTCAGATGTTTTACTCTTTGCAAAATCTTCTGAGTTTTAAAAATATCCTATATTTTGAAAATATTCCCAAGATTAATTTTGCATTAGTGCAAGACTGTCACTTTATAACCAACTTTCATCGTAGAGTATATTTGTTCTGCAGAATCTTGAGCCTGTTAAGTACAGTCATTGAAAATACCTTTTTCCAACAGTACTGCATAAAACATTTTGTTTAATATGCTTTCTGTGGTGGAAAATCAACTTTGTGATCCTGAATGCTGCTAATTGTACTACCAAATAAAGGAGCAGTTATTCTCAACACATAGGTACAAGGTATACGGATATAGTACTAAAAATTAGTATTTTCAAAGACTTACAGGTGCTGATTTCCAATACATATGTGTGCATGTAAGGAGTGAGAATTTTTGGATTATAAATAGTGGATAAAACTCCTTTAAATTATTTGAAATCAAAAGTAAATTGGAAATAGAGAAGATTCAGAATCATCGTTAAAGGCTGACAGGTATTACAATTCTAGGTGGTGGTAGCAAGTATATAACTGCCTTATTATTTTTTATTTTTTTTTTACACCAAAGCTCTGGGTCCCTGAATCCGCAATAGCCCTTGCAGTTAGGGAATGCACAAAGATAGCACTTTACCGGTGGTTTGGAGAATGTGGACCTAAGTAAGTCCGTGGTGATTAGAGAGTAAAGGAAACAGAGGCCACATGAACAACTGAAAACTAGTAAAATAAATACTGAATGAATATAGGCAATCTTCAAATTATTAGTCTACGATATCTTCTTTTAATCGCCAAAGACTTTACTTTGTCTTAGGAAATTTCCATATTCTGTCAAACCTTTTTATTCCCCTGGAAATGGCTAGGCGAAGAATTGGGTGTTGCAATAAGACCACCCAAACGTGCAAAAAGAATTTAAAAGGCAGTGGCCTTTCAAAGAGCCTGGCTTAATAGGAGTTCACATGATGTAGCAAAACCATGAAATCTTTTAGTTTTTTTTTCAGTTAGCCAGTCTGGGACCTAGCTTGCTATATTAAAAAAAAAAACAAAAAACAAAAAAAACCAAAAAAACAACAAAAAAAAAAACACAACCCCGAAAAAAACCCACAAAACAAAGAAAAGCAACCAAACAACCAAAAAAACCCCAAACGACCCCACAAAAAACCCAACAACAACAGAACACCAAAAACAAAACAAAAAAACCAACACAAAACCAGTGAAACAAAACAAAAAAGCAACAACCCCGAAACCACATTAAAAAAACCTCAGCTTCACTGATGCCCCAGTCAAACCCCTTTTACTGCTCCAGTAGAGAGGATTTAGGAATCATGATGGTAGCTCTGTGCCTGTGGAAGGTTCATTTTGCAGGTGGCCGTGTGTCCATCTGCTTAACGTGATTTAGAATCATGCTCTCAGCCTACATTTGGGTCCTCTTAAGACTTGTTGTTAAATTGAACATCTCAGCTGGTCTCTTGCTATGACATGACAAGTGAAGAGGAGGTTTCGGGGAATCACACTGCGCTGCTCGAGACCACATTATTTCCATGTTCAGATTCCAAGCTCTTTGGAAGTCATTACAGAACAACAGATATAATGTGCTGGTTGTGAGAAACTTTAACGTTGTCCAAAATTCAGCTGTGTATTCCAAACCTTTTAATGAAGTAATAGTCTTCTTGATGGTGTCCTCACTTGAAAATAACTTCTGTTACTCTCCCAGACAAGGAGAGGTAGCAATAGCAGACTTTTATAGTGGCATTTGGATGTCCTGAAAAATGTTCCTAAGTTGTGAAAGTAGATTTCAAGTCAAGTCCAAAAAGAGGTAGCACATCGATTTTGCCGCCTTCTGGTTATTTTTTCCATCTACTAGCATTACAGTCATAGCTAAATGAAATTACTGCTACGTCACGTAGGATCCACTTTTGATATAGAAATCAGGGTTAATTTTCACTTGCACTAGTGAGTTCTGGTAAAACAGAAAAATTGGGCTGGCTTATCAGGAACTTCAGTGAGAACTGCTACTTGCTAAAGTCTTTCATAAAGAGAACAGGACTGATGCAAGGCTTGATTCTTTACAGTGTAATATAGTTCAAAAAACAAATTAAACACTTCTCAGTATCTCCTGTAAGAATTTAATTGAATTGCTAAGAATTATTAAATGTGGTTTTGGTATAAGATTTTTATTTTTTAAAATAATGGTTTGCTTAATATAATACAAGTAATCAAATGGGATGTATTTGTACGTTAGCATGTGCTGGCTTTCTGCTGTTTTACTGTTGTGTATGACGCCCAGCAGACTGGTACATTGTGTTGCAAGGGTCATGTTTTAATGTTCCTAAATTACAGCTTGATGCTTGAAAAGGTTATTTGTCCAAAAACAGTGCTATCAAGTACAACTTTCTGTTAAGGGAGTTGTGCCTTATCTTTGGGGTTAACTGAATATCAAGTGTTTATGTCAGTTCATGAAGACTGGGTTGTGATGTCACCTTCGAGTTATCGGCTCTGTTTCGGTTCACTATCTCAGGGCAGTGACTGATAACAAAAGGCATAATTCAAGGTCTTGCTCACTTTCTCCTTGCCCTTCTTGTAAGGGGCCAGGAATGGAAGGCTACACTTAATTACAGGAATTCCTTGTCTAGCACTTCTGTCTTGCAAATTTCATGCTTTTATTATACTCAAGTAAAGGATCAGTCCTGTTATGGAAAAAGGAGGGAAAAAAATGATGCTGTATTTAAAAAGAAGGTTTATTTTGGAGGAAAAAGGACAAAGGAAAAAAGAAGATTGCCTATTTTAAGTGGTTGAGTAGAGTTTTTTATTTTTAAAAAAAAAAAAAAGAACATTTTATCCTGAGGTGTGTTTCAGTTGTCAGCTTATATTTTATTTCAGCCAAGTGGGCTTTGTTTGATATACGTCTTCTGATTTTTGCAATTGTTATGTATTCTTTGCATCTTTTAAAAAATTGATTTTCTGTGGTTTTACCCCCTTTAAAAGCCTCCTTTGGTGGAGGTCTTTGTTGTCCTACCAATTACTACCAAGACATAACTGGAAACTTCCCACCACTCCTTTCTCTCCTAGCTTCTGGGTCATTATTTGCCCTAACTGTTGATTCTTTTATTAGCTTGACTTTCAAACCACTTTAATAATGTGATTATCACCAACCTCACAGTTTGCTCCAGGCTCAGTGTTAGAGTGAGATGGATTCAGCTAGCCTGAGGATTACACTCTGTAAGATCTGTTTGTAGCAAGAATTACCATTTCTGGCTTTTGAACAGTAGACTATGAAAGAGAAACAAATTATATGGCTTTGGATTAAGTGGAAGGATGAATGAAACGAAGGAGCTGGTCTGTTCGCAGAGGTGGCTGTTATTTGTTTCATTTTTGCTGTAAAAGGAAGACCTTTCCTAAATGTCATGCTCTAAGTTCTTGCACAGCACTGTTTTCTCACACGTCACCGCATCTGCATGTATTCTTATTAGTTGCATGGAGCTGTACGAGTTTCAGTACAAGTAATTTTCAAATTCAGTCTTTCTATAAATTATTAAAGCGCTGAGGATGGCTTTTTCCAGGAAGGCTGAACTACAGCATTGATTTTATGCATGCTGGAGGCAGGCCCTAGATGTTTCGGCCCCAAGTGCGCCTGCTGTGGTAGTCTACCAGAACATCATACCACACTCTCATGTATTCAAAGCAAAGGAATAAATCATGATTTTACAACAGTGCATCAGTTGACTTATTGCTGTTTTGTGACCGGAGGTAGGAAGGATTGCTGTTTAAAGCCATGTCATCGGTTCTCAAGTCACTCAAGCATGAAAGCTTGTCATATGCCTCTGTAATTGTACCTCACCAGTCTTGCCCTAACTAGTCAGCTGGGGCTGCGCGTTTTGTCTCAAACACCCGGCTGGCCAGTGTCTGACAGGAGCTTTCTCATCATCCTGTCAGTGATATGTTAACTAGAGTGTATCTTCTGCGGCCTGCACTGGCAGGTGGAAAGGATGCTGCCCTCTAAAGCAAATATCTAAATGTTAACTCCATTTTGACCAGTATTTGTTTCAGGTAATACAAGTCTGATGTGCCTGAGAGCATGGTGGTTACCAAGCTCTGCTTTGCGCTGGCTGTAGGTTTCTTTGGTGATCTCTGTAAAACCAGTAAAAGATACAGATTTTTTTTTGTTGTTGTTGTTAAGAAGCATGGACGTTGTAAATATACACACAGAAATACGTTTGTGGAATCACTTTTACTGTTGGTTGTATGCCAAGAGAGCTTCTGCGGTTGCCCTCAGCTGCCGTAATGAGTTGGACTGAGCGGTGGCTTCATACCCCTCGCCTTGATAGTCTTGTTCAGGTGCGGTCACAATACCCATGGTCACGCGGGCACTGGGAAGATGCAGAGGCTCCTTGGAGAGTGTAGTA